AGGCATTTTTTTATGCCCTGATCCATTGGTTGGACGACTGAGGTACTATTTTAAGGCAAAAACTCTAACCTGATATTTGAAAGGATTAGATATTCTAGACGAACTGCCCAATTGTCAACCAAAAGCAATATTTTTCTATTCTGATGTTTTAGTTTTTCATCCCAATCCTTAAAATAATTATAAAAAAAAAGTCATCTCCGCTCGCTGGTTTGACTTATAGATGACAATTAGATTTTTCACAGTTTTCATACATCTTGGTCGTTTATATTTACCAATAACAAGAAGTTTGCATTTTTCGCTTCTTGTCATATTTGCACAAACCCAAACGGTGTACCTCAATTCGAATGCTTCTCACCCAAACACATTCCTCCTCTAAATATAAGGGTACGATCTGGAGTCATCTTGTATAGCCCAGTCTTGTCCCCATTGGCAATATCCTCAGAGCTGTAATTTTGTACAATATTGGGCCACTTATTTTCCAATCAGTTCAGCACAGCTTGTTTGTTAACATTTCCTGCTTCACCAGAAAATTTTCCGACGTTTATGTTGGGACGAACTTTAAAACGTTTGAGCAACCTGTAGAACAACTAAAGTCCTCACCCTGTATTCCCTTGGCTAATTCTTCGGCTTTCAATTTCAGAATTGGACCACTTGTTGCAATATTTTCGGATCTTCGAGCTCTATCTACATCTAAACGTGCAGGATTTCTAATTTTTTTAATCCTGTGCGATTTATAGTCACTTGCTTTCGATTTTCGCGATTACTTTTACAACTAAAGACTTGCGCCGATCCGCCATTTTAACCATAAAACAATGAAGTGGAAACTGTCGACCCGACACGTACATTTCAGATAAAACGTCGTAAATGATTACTGAAAAATCCTCGATTTTTTCGGGAAACCACCGCTCGATAATCCGGTTTCAGCGTACACTCGTACTTTGTAACGAGACAATAGTGAAAATATTGTACTTTATTACCGTAGTAGAAGTTATATATGGTACTTAATATCCGATGAAAATTCAAGAGTATTTTGGACGGACCAGTAAAATATGTACGTAATACCTGGAAGTACGTTATAAACTAAGTTCACTATATTGATATTATGTACTTTAGTCCGAAAGCTAATTCTGTAATATAGATGCGGCGTCTCAAATAACGATAAAAAAGGTAGTTGTAAAAGACCAATATTTTGCATATTAAACCACTTGTTTTCAACCAGAGTGTGATTAACTTGTTGAATTTTGCGAATGCCAATATCAGGCGCAAACAAGAATTTTGTGGCTTTTGCATTCTGTACTGATATTGATATTGTAGGTTTGCAAAAATTGTATTCTGTCTGTTCTTATACCAAAATCTATTGATGTAGTGTTGTTATTGAGATAGAGGCAATAATTTTTAGAAAACATTGAGAGCTTGGTTAGCTTGATCTGTATTATTTGCATAAAATTGATGCAGACATGATAAATTTTTTTTTGAGAATTATCAATTATACGCATTGATCATTTAGTGTCACTTTAACCCTTCCTACGGAACATTTTGAACATCTGGTATTACGTAAAACCAGACAGAACATTACTTCACTTCACTATAATGCAACCAAAGCAACTGTACTGATACAATGGCTAAGCAATACATTACAATACGTGACACTAATTGTTTGCCTTTTCTAGGTATTCAGAGTGTGGGAAACCAAATATAACCTACTTAAAAGGTCCTACTTCTTTCTTTGGGAAAAGTGATAGATAGATTCAATATACTAAGGATCCAATTGAATAGCAATCTATGGAAGCTGTCTGTTCAGGACCTTTAGATGACGCAGTTCCGAAAAGCTATTAGTGGCAAATGCTGTGTGGAAGAACAAGAGACAATAAATCTGGAACCGTCTGTTTTCGATGTAAAAAATAAATATCCATGTAGGGCATTTGGCCAAAGAAGCAATCCGGATGCTCCGTGTTAAGCTCAAAACAGTATTTGGAACGACAAAATAGTCTGGCAAAAATCATACGTCAAGAAATCATAAAAAAGTATCTGGGGAGAACGAATTTGCCACCGTACTACGCCAGTGCTGGAGTATGACCGTTGTAGGCTTTACTGGAACAGGAAAATCATCACCGATAAGCCCATCCCAAATAACATTCTTGATATTGTACTGACCCTCAAGGAAGAAAAGAAAACGTTTATCATTGACGAAAACACCGCGAAGGGCAATGCCGAAAAAATTAATAAATATATATCCCTGGCCGGTGAGCTGCAATCAATATCGAAACTGGACACAATCTTAATAGTCCCGATAGTCATAGGATCGACCGCAGAAATCCCTAATAAACTGCTTGAAAGTTTGGACAAACTGAAACTGAATGAACAGTTGTACTTACCTGCGCAGAAGTCAGTTCTACTAGACGCCTGCGGTATTGTCCGCAGGACCACTGGAGAAACCGAAAGCTAGATCAAGAGACCAAAAATACTTACCCTCTTGGTAGACTCGAGCGGGCTAAGTAAAGATTCCTCCCAGAGAGTGTAAAAAGTTAAAACAATATTATTATTATTATTATAATTATAAACAAATTGTTTTTCACTCACTCGTTGTCACTCGTGTTAAACTAATTGCATAATGTACTACTTAAAAATCGAAATGGCGACAGACGGTAAGGAATTAAAGATGCTAGAGGTATTGTAGTTGAAAGATCTTTGATATAATACTATTATCCATAAAACCTTAAGCTAGGTGCTAGTCCTGTCCGTTTTTTTCCACCCATCAACTTATCACGTCGCCTCCGTAGTTACGAGTAGAATGAGAAAATTAAGTAAATCCAAATTACATACCAAAATATGATCCGATAAGAAATTTCAATTTGCTCTTTATTGCTATAGAAAAACCTCGAAAAGGGCGAAAACGTTTTTCATGGATATAAAGTGCCCAATAAAAACGTAATTAATTATCGTCAAAGTGAAAATATGGCATTTACAGCGACCGGCGTTTACCGAACGATTGAAAATATTAATCAATCAGTTGAGCCGTATATCATTGCCGGGGTATATATATATATATATATATATATATATATATATATATATATATATATATATATATATATATATATATATATATATTATTAATAGTATAAATTACATCATTCGTTGGCTTGTTGAACTCCGACTGGAAGCCTGCAGACGTTTCGCCAAAATCTTACTTGGCATCTTCAATGCTCGCGTTCCGAAAACATTTTGAACACTGGGAGGTTATCGGCGGTGCGTGCGGTATTAATACCCTGCGCCGGAGATGGTAACGGTGCTGCTTTTGCGGGAGGGGAGGTGGCTCCGCTCCCTGAATTGTCGCGTTGTTAATTTCGCCCGATCCTAGTTGTGATGTCCCCGTTGGGTGCTGCGTATCGCTCTGCTGTTTGATTATCGTTCTCCACGTATTGGATAAATGCAGAGCGTCGTCTCTCGTATTCAGGTATCCGGACTTTTCTATCTCGATGGCCTCTCGTATAATCCTAGTCTTAAAATCAGGAATATTAGCTATTTGTTTGCAAGTACCGAAATCAATTTTATGGCCTGTCTGATGTTGGTCCTGAAACAGAGCAGATGTTGTTTGTTTGTTTCTTATGGCTAAACGATGTTCCTCGAGCCTGGCTTAAATCCTTCTGTTGGTCTGTCCCAAATACTTCAGGCTGCACGATCCGCATGCTATACTGTATACTCCTTGGTTTTCCAGAGTAATTTTTTGTTTTGGGTTTCTTAGTATTGCTCCGATGGTATGATCAGGTTTGTATGCCGTTGATATGTCGTGTTTCCGTAATATTCGGCCGATTTTGTCAGTAACCCCTTTGATGTATGGCAGGACAGCGATCAATCTTCGCTGGGTCTCGTCCTGCACTCTCTGTTGCGGCTGTTGTTGTTTACCGATTGCATTGTTGATGATGCGCCTTTGGTATCCGTTTTGTCGAAGACAGGTACTAATTTTTGTTCAGTTCTTCATCTCTGTCCCTCTCGTTTGTGAGCCTGACGGACCGAGCAATTAATGTATTTGCCACTGCCTGTATCTGTGATGGGTGGTGATGAGATTTAGCGTTCAGATATCTATTAGTGTGTGTTGGTTTTCTATAGACAGTGTGTTCCAAATGTCCGTCTTCGGTCCTTGTGATGTGCACATCTGAAAAGGGCAGACTGTTATCCTATTCAAGTTCTATTGTAAATTGAATCCTTGGGTGAATGGAATTCAGATGATCTAGGAATTTCAAAAGCTTCTCCTTACCAAAAGGCCATACAGCAAATACGTCATCAACGTCTCTTGTCCATAGTTTTGGCTTCAGATTTGCCTTCTCTATTGCTTTCTTTTCGAAGTAAATCATGAAAAGGTTGGCAATCACAGGTGAGAGAGATGATCCCATTGTTGCTCCATCTATTTGTCGGTAAATATATATATATAGCAATCTATGGAAGCTGTCTGTTCAGGACATTTAGATGACGCAGTGCCGAAAAGCTATTAGTGGCAAATGCTGTGTGGAAGAACAAGAGACAATAAATCTGGAACCGTCTGTTTTCGATTTAAAAAATAAATATCCATGTAGGGCATTTGGCCAAAGAAGTAATCCGGATGCTCCGTTTAATCTCAAAACAGTATCTGGAACGACATATACATATATAGCAGCAACTTGTTTGTCACAAATGGCTAAAATAATCACAACAAATGTTATATTCATTCGTTGTCAGAAGAGAAAGGACTGCTGCCTTACTAAGTATGCTTTAAACAGAAACTGTCCACTAAAGATATTTAAAATTCCACTCTAGTTTGTTGGACGAGTAAGCTCGTATTATTTACGGTAATCGAATTATTTCCTCGGTTCATTTTTTTTACATTTGTTTATCCGAACACAAATTGGAAATTCCAACACGATTCAATAAATGCAGTAACGCACGCGAGTTATTTACATTAATAATTAATTGAACGATAAGAAATCTTAGGATTTAAATCATTATTCCGCAGACCAGTTCGAGGTTACTAAACATGCAGACTGCAACTCTTTTCCTCGTGATGCTTTTATCAATAAATTCTATTTCAAGTAAGTTTCTTCCCGTAAAATTATGCAGGGCATTTTATAATCAAATGCCAATATTGAAGGAAAAAGTGCGTTCCAAACTTCTTAATTTTCGAAATATAGGATTGTAACTTTTAAACTGTAACGGTTGATGGCACAAACTTTTACAGAGAATCGAAAATATATATTTTTTAAAATTTGGGCACTTGTATCTTCGAATATTATGCAAGTTGTCACCGCCAAGATCTGGCAACATCGTTATCTTAAATTGCATATTTATAATTTTATAACATTTTTAGATTTACTGCTTTCTACTGATTATTTTTGGATCGTTTAAAATTAAAGATCTTGGCATAACACACAAAAGTGGTAAAAATTTTATTTTTTGAATTATTGCTTGTTTAATAATTACAAAATATGTCACCACTATAGAGTTTGAATAATTTATAAGATGCGCTACTTGAAAAAATGAATTTTCAGTAATTTTAAACGACTCTAGAAACTATCCAATATTTTTGTGTAGATCAATTTCAGCCTTCAATGGCAGCTGAGTTAAACTTTTAGTAATGAATTATTAAACAAAAATAATCATAAAATGTTAAAAAAGAATCTTTTTTCTGTTCTGTGGAAATTTCTCAACCACCATCGCCGGTCATCTCTTTTTATTGCTAGCGAGGGTGTTTGTGCGTCAAATTATTTCCCTTCCTACTTAAATTTTCTTCTTTAAATGACCCTAAGCGGACATTCTATAACAAAACACCCTAGGTAACTTAATCATATCAAATTATTCAATCAGGCGAAAATAGCTGCGATAAAATGGGAACTTTGATTTACGAGGACATTGGATGTACAGCCATAAATATAGAGGGACAAACATGCCCTGAAAGGTTTCGTTGCGACTTTACGAAGCTAAATGCGAGCTCCTGCCTTTTTAAGGGAAAGGAATACTTCGATGGTGAAGCAATTGAAGAACATCTGGCAGAAGCTTCGTGCAATGTGCGATGTACTTGTAAAAAGTAAGTCTTATAAATTTTTGGGTATTGACGAGATTGAGTTGTCTGTGTTCATACGATTGAACAAAGCAGATTTAAGAACTGCATAAAGTCAAAACGTAAATGAATTCTATTATTTATAAATTATTATTGCGAACGGAGCGAATAAATATTTTTAGTATTTTTCGGCAATATGGAAAATAAATATCAGACGTTTAGAAAAAGGTGTCCGAAAACTGTTCGCACATTGAAATTTCGTTCAGTTGATTTATTTCGTGCTTTACCGCAACACCAACGCAAAATTTATTTTTGTATTTCTACCAATCAAACTTTACTCTGGGCTTGTACAAGACAAAAGAAAAGTAAGAATTAATGAGACATGTTTGGATGTTTGAATGTTGGAGACAACGTTTCAACTAATGAACTTTTCCTTAATGACATTGTCCGTCATTAAGTGTTAACTAAAGAAACAAACAACCAAGCTTAGCTTCAAACAATAAGAGTGATTTTTCTTTGTTTATTTTATTTTCAAGCAATTTCAACTAAATTTTTGTATATTCATTTTTAATATTTTTGTCTTGTTTGCATGTTAGTTTACTCAAGAAAATCACAAAAATAACCTTCAAAATATTATTCTTAAATTAATTAAATTATTAAATTAAAAAATGTTTAACCGGTTTAATGGTTTCACGGATGATTACCGAATCACATATTCATGCGATTGATACACTAGGCGAAAATGGCGAAATTTTCTACTTATCAACTGACGTAACTGCCTAATGCTAAAGCTAATAGGTTGATATTTTATATACAACCCGGTTAATAGCTGAATGTCCTATATACATAAATATATGATCCGCAATTAATAACACTCCCACTACAGCGGAACCTTCGGCTGTCATCCCAGGGGATTGTGTCGCAAAACATTTGAGCCGAACGCCATATTTTGCTATAGCAAACGTCAACTGGGCATGTGTTGTCCCACCGAAGTGGTTTGCCGTAAGAATAACTTTAAGCGCAATTCCCACATAGCCGCCAAGCAGCAGAGCTGTGATTACCAGCAGTTTCAACATATAAAAAATGCTTTGATTTCTGCTAATGGTCAACTCGCAAACACCTTCACGCACATTTTTTTAGTAGGCAGAAAATATGACTGCTCTTAGTACAACTAGAGTTTAGGCCGAGGTACGTGGCACAACAGCGACTACTTTGAACTTGAAAGATACAGTTTAACCTGATCGATCAAAAACAGACGTTCTACCAGTGATCGAAGGATGTTTATGTTAAATTGTGAAGTTGCTTGGATTTAAATTTTGGTAGAACGTGTAATTAATAATAATAATGATAATAATATACTTTATTCAGGTAATTTCGACAAGGAAAATTATAAGAAAAAGCAAGAGTGCAGCGCCCAGACGCATCTGATTGCTGATTTCTACACATAACATCACACCATGGTTTTAATTAATGTTTACAATTGCGTTAAGTACCCACTTAATTATATAACAGAAAGAAAAACCTAAACCTACCTCTGTAAATAAAAAAAGTATTAGCTAAAGTACTGTAAGTACCACAAATTTTTAAAGAATTCTAGCAGTGCACATTGGTTAGCTTCTTCCTGCGCTCTGTAACTTCTCAATGCATTTTTTCTTTTTTTTTTTCATTAGGTCATGATATAATTTTGCCAAGTCGTAACTGAAGGATCTTTCAAATATACCAGATCGGTGACGACGAACTATAACCCCTTAGATTTAAGTTATTCACGTCTGTTCTAAAAGTTATTTTTTCGGAGAGGTATTTGGGATATTTTGTCTTAATTATTTTGAAATAAAGACAACAGCGATGGATCAAGCGTTTTTGAATTTTTTCAATACGCTGTGACGAATGAGCTGCTAAATAAGGCCCATATACGACATCATGATTAAACACGGAGAAAACAAGAGCATCGCATAAGGTTTTTTTAGGATTTCGAGTTAGAATATGCGTTGAGCTATACAACCCTTTTAAACCCCAATTTTTTTAGCTCGTTTTGAAATGGAAGAGTAATATTGTTTGTACTGAAGTGGCTTTTATTTGATGAAAATCCATTTAAAATAGTTAAATAATAACAAACGTTGTTCAGATTTTCACATAAATATATTTAAATGACAGCTGTTTCGGCAACACCGTGCCTTTATCAAATGCGAATATCAAACGGTACCGATGTTTATAAATACAAACCAGGTAGTAATTACTTAATGTGCGGTATTACATTGAGATTTAACAAGGGGGAACCATTCAAATCCAGTTGGTCATTAAGCTCTCATCTTATTAATCTCCATAGCTTCTAGTAAATTTAATTTTCTACTTTTTGAAACAGTGCGTAAAATATCGAAATTGTCGTCAAAATTGTGTTTTTCTAAATTTAAATGTATAGCGTAATTAGAATCTGAAGTATTGTTTGTAAATGATCGTCGATGTTCGTTGATACGTTTTTTGAAAGATCTACCTGTTTGTCCAATATAAAACTTAAAACATGAGCCGCAATTTAATCTATAGATTCCAGAATTCTGGGATCTATTAGATTTAGATTTATTGTTTTTAACAAATTTTCCTAGGGTGTTATTAGTTTTAAAAGAAATTTTGAGGCCACATTTCGAGAGATGATCTGAAACTTTATTATTAGGTTCTCCTATGTATGTTAATGTTTTAAAACCTTGAGATTCAGTAATAGAGCTGGGATATATAGAGTTCAAAGTTTTTTGAAATTCTTTCTTAGTTAAGATTTTATCTATCAGTGACGGGTCATAGCCATTGTTGTATGCAATTTGTTTTATAATATTTAATTCTTTTTCAAAGTTTATTGCAGGAAGAGGGATAGTTATCAGCCTATGAATAAAAGAATAAAAGGCAGCCATTTTGTGAGTATAGGGATGGTTTGAACTGTCATGTATTATAGTGTCTGTGTGTGAAGGTTTATGGTATATTGAAAAATCTAATTTGTCATGTTCTAAGATTCATATTGGACAATCAGGTAGATCTTTCAAAAAACGTATCAACGAACATCGACGATCATTTAAAAACAATAGTTCAGATTCTAATTACGCTATACATTTAAATTTAGAAAAACACAATTTTGATGACAATTTCGATGTTTTACACACTGTTTTTATTAAATTTACTAGAAGCTATGGAGATTAATAAGATGAGAGCTTCGACTGTTAAATCTCAATGTAATACCTCACATTAAGTAATTACTACCTGTTTTGTATTTATAAACATCGGTACCGTTTGATATTCGCATTTGATAAAGGCACGGTGTTGCCGAAACAGCTGTCATTTAAATATATTTATGTGAAAATCTGAACAACGTGTGTTCTTATTTAACTATTGTAATATTGTTTATTTTTATGATTACTTTAGAAGTAAGACGCTTAACATCCACCGTTCTACCAAAAAACATTACAGAAGATTTTTTGTTTGTTTTGTTGATATTTTGGCACTCAAGCTGCAACCTAGAGGGGTCAAAAACATAGTAGAGCCGCTTGTCATCAGCATATGATTGTCCTTTGCAATGTTTGAGGAAATCTAAGAAATTTGTTGTGAAAATAATAAACAGAACAGGAGCTACAATTGAGCCTTGAGGAACTCCACTTCTTGTGTCTAGGCAATCAGACTCGACCCCGTATCGACCTAAGTTTGAACAACGGTAAAAAGGTTTGCTACCTGAGGTTGCAGGTATCATCCAATTATTTTCAAAAAATATTATATATAAGTAAAGTTTGAACGTCCACTATTGAAAAAGAAAACAGCATCTCGTAGCTTTATTACATGCAGCAACATCATTGTGAACATTAAGCTTAAATTTCCTTGGTAATAGGAAACTTTCTGATTTTTCAAATGTCTTCTATTGTGGAGTAATATTTATATGCGCTTTGTCAAATATTTTTTAATGCTTCTTGATATATATTTTAGAAAAAACTTTTGTAAATAGATATAACAAAAAACGAGTTCAATTTGACTGCTGCGGCACTGCTATGTGGGGACTGGGCTTTGTTGTGCACAGTTCATAAAGCCATGGTGACATTTTATAGCTCCGTTCGCACACGACGCATTCCAATGTCAAGTGGACGGTGAACGCTACAACGTCGGCGAGGAATTTACTCCAAAGAACACGTGCCTCATTTGTATCTGTCGCGAAAACTTTACCGGCGAGTTCGACGAGGTCAGCTGCGCGAGACAAAATTGCGCGGCTCAACTGCACGAAACCAACGCTATCGAGCAAGGCTGCGCACCGGCTTATTTTCAACCTGCTCCTTCTGACCTATTCTACGTGCCGCCGAATAAAGTCGGTTATGTCGCCGTTTACAAGAAGTTTTTAAATACCGATACCCTTTGTTGTCCAGACGATTGGATCTGTCGTGAGTGTTTTGTATTGTTCTATGTCAGCGTTGGTAAAATTCGCAATTTGTTTAAGCGCAACCGTTAGACAACGTTACTGTGATTGAGAATGAGAGGGGCATATATTCAGGTAAGTTGATCAGAAAAAGTAGAAACAATCAGTTCGAGGTGCCACCAGATGGTTGCGGTCAGATGTCACGTGCTGGTTGTCTCACCTCTCTCTATCAAAGAGATTTCCCTGTCAATGCCCTTTCTCCAACTTCTTCTTGGTCTTAATCTCTACCTTCTCTCAATACGCATCCAGGCAAGTATTTGCTTAAGTAGTCGCCGATCTCCCCACAACTATGTGAAACTATTTTTTTTATAGTGTTATAAATTAGGTAAGGTAAATGAAATACTGGGTTTGGGCTAATAAACATGTGTCCAAAATTGCTTTCTATACAAAATGCATAAAAAATGTATATTATGGAACTAGTTTCACAAACAGCACTTTAAACCACAGATTTCCACTAACATCTTTTATATGTTTTTGTATGTTTAAATTATTACAGCAAATGTTTTAGATTCAAGGTAACTAGGTCTTTTTGTACACCTCATACTCCACATTTCTGACTGCAGGCTCAACTATTTATTTTTATTCCAAGATACTGTCGTTTTCCTTTGGACAGCTCAGATGTTTGCTTAATTTGCTTATTCCTACCGATGAAGTCACTTTCAACTTATCATAAAAGCACCATTCTAAATTAAACATGGAATGAATTGGTGATTTTATAGAAACTAAGAAGAACTAAGAACATGCATATTGGTAAAGTTGTGTTGCTTAGTCTAGTATATAAATGACACTATAGTTACAAGTTTGCTCAGGAGCGCGTGTTTAATGCACCAAAATGTTATGAACGTTTTGCGCACTATGCCTTTTCTACGACCATGAGTCACGTGTAATGTGACAGTCAGAAATGACAAACCTCAAAATACCATCCGATCGCTCCTACATCACCGAAATCAAGCAAAAGGAAAAATAATAACTTGTATTCACTTGTTATTGTTTAAAAATTGTATATTATGGAACAAGTTTTATAAACGACATTGAAGAAGTCTTTAAGTGTTATATACTATCATTTTCCTTCGACCCCCACTTTTCTTCAAAACGATTTTTTTATCGGAAACATTTTCAAAACATTCCAAACTTTATTTTTAATATATATATATGATAGAAATTAGTGCATCGTTTTATAAAACGCCCTGTAAATATTAAAACAGAATTGCTCCATTTTGGTAGCATTATATTTAGAGAACTGTAATATTACCGGCTGAGAAGTATGATTTCTTTTTTTTAATTGGCTTGTCTTGATTCCGTGAGTTTTGTTTTCGAGTCATACTTAGAATGTGCATATTAGAATTTGCATAACCTCAGATCAGAATAAAAAGTACTGAGCTTTGCACGTGGTGTTTTCGGAACGTTCAGGATTTCTACAGATTTCAGCATTCGCTTTCACACGTCATACAGGGGTAAAAAGTTTCGTCAATGCCCACCACGATTTTTTTTTCAGTCTTGGCAAATCTACACATTATTAGTACCTACTTTAGCGATACGTCCTTTTTCGATCATAATATCTAATTTTATATCCGTTATTTTGTAACTTTGAAAATACTAAATACTCCATGCATCGAAAGTGGCCGTGTGAACTTCAAACAAGTTTTCTTTTTTCAGATCTGGAATGCAAGTACGGAAATAAAACGTTTAAATTCGGAGAAGGCTTTAAGCAGAGAATCTACCGTTACAGAAAAAGCAGGCACATGAAATGTGAGTGCCTTTTGCCACCACTCCTTACTTGCAAAGAACAATAGTCGATGTGGTGATAAGCAAAATAAAATGATAAATAAACTGACGTTCTGATACTTTCGGTCACGTTTCCCATTAAGAATGAAAACAATGATTCGGCGATTTTCTGGATAATTAATTAACTACTCGAAAAGGGCATTATGCCTGGCCTTCCGGGATCACAAAAAACAGCTTCTATCCAATCAATATTAGAAATGGGCAACTTCTACACAGGCGAATCAGTTTGGTTATTGTCCGTCGTTTCGGTGCGTTCCAAGCACAAATTAAACTCATTATACAGGGTGTTACGAAAACGATATGACATACTTTCAAAAATATATTCTTTTGGTTTGTTTGCAAAATTAGCTAAAACAGTCTCTTTTAACTCAACTTCGTCGTTAAACCTCCGTCCACGTAAGTCCTTTTTCAAATATCCAAAAAAATAATAGTCGCTAGGGGCCATATCTGGACTATAGGACTATAGGGACACTCTAAAATGGCAGCTTGTGCAACACCAGCAGTATGGACAAGTGCATTATCATGCAAAAGACGTACGCCTCTGGTTAGTTTTCCTCGACGTTTTACACGTATGCAGTCGCGCAATTTATGTAATAATGTTGCATAATATTTACCATTGACAGTGATATTAGTTTCTTTAAAATTTATCAAAAGAATTACTTCACAATCCCAAACGATCGTGCCCATCACCTTTTTTGTTGACTGGCAGACTCCGAATTTTCTTGGAAGTGCTTCATCCTTACGACGCCACTCCATTGATTCTTTTTTCGATATAGGGTCATAATAGAGAACCATAGTTTTATCTCCCGGCACAATAGTTTCTATCACAGGCTTCGGTTCCGACCCACAGAGTTCCAAAAAAGACCGCGCACACGCGACACGCGTTGTTTTTGAATAGCCGAAAGGTTTTTAGGAACCCATCTTGCACTAACCTTATGTATACCTAAATGATCATGCAGGATTCGACGAACACTTGTATCAGAAAGCTTAGTAATTTCTGAGGTTTCTTTGACCTTTAAACGTCGATCACTCATACCACTTCTTCCACAATCGCAACAATATCTTCCGTTATGACCTCCACTGGTCGACCAGTTCTTGAATCATCTTCAAGGGACTCCTGCCTCATTCGAAAACGTTTTGCCCATTCTTTCACTACAGAATACGAAGGAGAACTTTGACGGTTCACACCATCCAGCCTTTCTTTAATAATTTTAGGTGCTAACCCTTTTTTTGTCAAAAACTTTATGACTGCTCTATACTCAATTTGAGTTATTTGCGACATTTTTTCGGACACGTCTTGTTTAAAATGCTGTCAATAAAAAACTATTTGACGCAAGACTTCAATTTTTTTTTTGCAGCCTACTAAGGTATATATTTAAAAGAAGGCAAAGTTGTATCGTGATACTGGAGCTGCATCTATGTCAGGCGGGGAAATTTTGGCGCTAACCTCATACATATCCAGTTAGGTTTAATATTCAAACAAAGTTTGTTAGTAAAGAAAATACTTGAATAGCATAGAGCAGTATCGCATTGGGGTGAAGAATGTTTTTTCTATCTTGATGAGACCTGGTTTAATGACGGATTTGTTAAACTTTCATAAAAGGCTGGTCAACGTTTGTCACTGGGAAAAGGAATAAAACTAGACGTTGCACACATTAGAAACGAAAATGGTATTCCCCAGAAATGATCAAGTAACTTATTTGAACTTTCAGCTATAGATGTAGTTATATAGACGGAGTCGGGAGTGAGGTTGTTGGTTGGTTGTTCCGCTACGACGCCAACATTTATTTCCATGCCTGGATCCCTAAAGGCGTTTCCATTATTTTTAAATAATGTGGACAACCCGACAAATACAACAAATACACTTTGATATTATTATGTCAACACATTTTTGAGTGTAACCGTTATGAAGCAAATCCTTCTAAATACTGCTTAGTTCTACACCAAGTAATGCTTTGTAGAGTGTTTGGTTGCTTTAGAATGGTTAGACTCAAAATTTAGATTTAAAGTAGTTCTTACCCATAACCGACACAACCTGTACATATCCAAACAAATGTCCGAAATAAAATTAGTAGTAATTTTAGTAAATTTTTTGTTTTTATTGGTTCAAATTTTTTTCTGTTACGGGTTTCGAAAAAATTAGCGAAACTCAAAATAATCCAAAAAAATTTTTCTAATTAAAAAAAAACATTTCTCAATTGCCCATTGCGCCTTTGGATGTTTGTTGTAGACTGGGTTCAAGAAAGTGTGGAATAGTGCAAAAAAGGCAACTCGACAATGTAATTTGTACTGCGAATTGAATAGTGAAAAATATGAGCTGCTCTACTTCTATCAAGAATCTCAGGGACGGCAGTTTTTTCGTAGAGAAGTTCATAAGGTCTATCCTCTTACTTTAGCATCATAGTAATTGTCCAAATTGTTTTAAAAAATTCTTACTCAACCAACTGATGAGAGTACGCCATAAAAATGACACCAGACTCAAGACACAAAACAGCAATACAATATTTTTAATGCATTCACACAAGTGAAGTCCCAGGTACTTCTCCTAATGAAATCATCTGGAAACCTTTTATTTACGCCGTTATCAAAATGATTAGAAGAGTAAAGACCTGTAACCAGTGTAACCCCAGATCTTTGATACTCGAAATATTATCTATTTTGAACCATTTTATAAGAGCTAGAAAAGAAAAAGATCTGTAACATCATTTGACTAAGTTATTCCACATAAGAAACGGACAACCATTTCGGGGCCAATATGCAGCAACAAGTTCGACAGTTGCGGCACCAGAAGCCGCCACCCATCACACCAAGTCGTAATTGCATTTCCTTTCCACCCCATATTCCCCCGCCCCGGAACAATACTTCACCAAATTAATTCGGCAAACTTTGGTTCGCGCCGAATCTTTTGTATTACAAGCGAGGCGGATTGATCAGGCATTCATGAGATCGGTGTGAATGAACTTGAAACTCCAGAGCGTAGTCTCTAATTTGTAGAGGCGCGTTGCGTCGGATGGTCGTCCGATGGATAACCGAGTGCTGATTGCGCCGGAGTCCTTCCACAAGATCGGCGGAGGTTGCTTCCGTCACGCGAAGCTGCGAGGAATTTAGTAGCTGCTGAAGGCCGGCGACGCACGACGCGTCTAACTTACAGCTTCGGGTCTGCGAGCCACGACACGAGTCACGATTCTCTTTTTCGAAAACGCGACTACAGACTGATTGGGTTTCGCAGTTCGTTCGGCTCGATTTTGTCGGTAAGTTTTTTGGTTTGTGTGGGACCCCGAAGTTTTATGAAAAGGGTTTTGTTTTTTTTTTAACAAACAAAAATTAATGAGCACGTTTCCAGTGTGCCGAAATTTTACATTGGAAATTTTATTTCTTTTTATAAGTGGAAGTTTCAGAAGAGTGTTTTGATAAATTATGACGGAAGAAAAATGTTGGTTCGTTATTATAAATATTTATTTATTTTAAAAATTTTATTTACTCGTACAGATTTTTTTTGATAAACAACTGTTAATATTATATCGGATTTTTTTTTATTTCGTTTTTTGAGTCGGGTATTTCTCTGAATTGTAATAAAACCAGCTAAACTTTATTTGGTTGAAAATGTTAAAACTATATCAACCTCAGCTTTTACTATGTCTATATGTGCATTTCGAGATTGTCTTTGAAATCGAGAATTTAAAACAAATTTTAATAAAAACACTTTATTAAGATATTTAGTCTAGTCAGAAGTAGCTTGATTCCTATTTCCTTAAATTATGGTGTAGCAAAAAAAAATTGACAGATTTTCTTGAAAAAAAAAAGATTAGTTCAGAGCTTAACTGAAGAAGAAGCACTGCGTCTTATGGACAATCGATGTTGGAAAAATCCAGAAGATTTTTAAACAGTGTTACAGTAGCCTGGGAAAGTTTCTTTGGAAAATTAAACGAATAAAATAACTCTACGTGATTCAATTTTTTATTTTATTGCGAATATTTAACTTTTCAATAAAAAAATATGCAATTAAAATACAATTCCAAAGGATTTTATGATAACTTCGAAAAGAAGTCCACGTTTTCATAAATATCACATCGAAAGCAAGGCCCATGTTTTTCAAAGTTTACCTGATTTAAATTTACGGAGGGAAAACGAATCTGACGCGCCCAAAATTACCATAAAATAATTTTCTTTTCAAACAAGTTATCTCGAAAAACGCGACAAAAAACGTTGTTCAACTTTTTTTTGGCCGTTTTCGACGACGGATAAGTCGGCATATAGGCAAAATCTGCTTCCAATTTCTGCCTTCTTTAAATAATTAAATCGATTAATTTAATGAAATTATTATTGATTTTTGCTAAGAAGCTTTTGGCAGTATTTCCTTCTATTCTTTACGGTTTTTTGCTTTCTTCTTCTTCAGTTTGCTTGCTCGTGCCTGTGCCGGAATGACTCAATTGTCTTGAAATTCTTCTTTAACTTTCGTGTCCGCGTTTTCTTTAGCGTTGTCAGTCACTTCATTGTCATTTCATATCATAAACGTTATTTTTATGTCAACACCAATGAATTTGATCAAATGTTCTATGCAGTCGATACCAATTTTTTAAGGCAAATTGTATTTAGAGTGAGGCGGGTAGTAATGGAGATTTTTTTAGTAATACCTGTTAATAGTAATGACAGATAAGTGTTCTAAGAGATTGTCTTATATTAGTTCGCACTTTTTCTACCTGTTTGGATTTTTAGAGGGTAAATCGTTTACTAGAGATTGGTTGGTAGTAGAGTGGTTGTGATAATTTCCACTAGTTTCAATTTCGCTGATGTTAATCATAAATAAATAGTAAATTCTTGCGTGGTATATGGTTACAGTAATGCTATAATTCGAGTTATCGTATAAACAAAATATATAAATTTGATTATATAAATGAACTATTTCGACATATAATAAAAGAAATAGTTGATTTTATTTTGATTGATTTAGTCGTCACAAAAGCTTAAAAAATAAAATATATGTCAAAATCTGTAAAATGTATAAGAAAAATTTAATGACAAAAGTTGCTTAGATTCATTTATTTTTATTTCTACTTTAAAAATATTATATTGTAATGTATACAGAGTGTTTGTATTGTGTGTACAAGGAACAATTCAAATTATTCAGTAAATTTTATATATATTTTATGTTTTAAACAGTGACGTTTGTAGTTTAAGTATACGTATCGTTTTCTCCAACTGAAATATATTGTATATGTTATATAAACCTCACACAAAGTGACTTTTAAAAGTGCCAATTGTGATAAAATAATGATATTAGTTTTTCCAATCAACCACTACTTTGCTGTTCCAGTTTTCATAGAGTTCACGGTATAAGGCATTATGGAACCTACAAACGCATTAATTATTAGTTAACTATTGAACTGAGGTGGCTTTTACTTGATGAAAATCCATTTATCAAAATAAATAAGAACTAAACGTTCAGATTTTCACGAAATTATACATTATTAAATGTGACATTTGATAAAGACACGGTGTTGTCGAAACAATTGTCATGTCATAATATATAATTTCGTGAAAATCTGAACTTTTAGTTCTTATTTATTGTTATTAGTTAACTGAAAATAAAATAATAAAAAGCGTGCTTTCTTCTGTGGCGTCATAAGATAGTAAATAGTTATTAAATATGAAATTATAAGAACAAAGCCGGTTAGAATTCATGTTTTTTACCAGACCAGTTTAGAATGGAATTTAATTAGAGTTGATTTGATACTTATAATTGATGCAACTAATATAAATATTTATGAACGTTGCATATTTTAGGACCATTTTTCGTTCACCTACTGTATATTGTTCAAATAATTTCCGTGTTGCGTAATCGAAATAAAAAGTGTTTACAAAATTTAAAAACAGCTGCAACCCAAAATACGAGAAAGCTTGTATTTGAGTTTTTTGCCGAATCGCGAAAAATCATTTTCGCAAGACGAAAAATCAATTTTTCGGTTATAAACTGTACCAAAAAAAAAAATAACAAAGCACAAAGAAAACATTCTATAGCTAACTCATAAATGACGTGACAAAAGCTTTTCTGTCTGTACTTCGTTTGTTGGCTGTTCGGATTGTCGACAATTTTTACTTTGACGAACATATCGGTTATTCAGCGGTTACGTCGTAAATTGAATTATGGGAATTCGAGAAGGTCGCAACAGTTTCCAGCTAAAATTCCTGACGAAAAATGTTTGCCACGGGCGAGCATTCCCCGATCGGGGTTTACCTCGAAGAAAAGTTAAATCTTGGATACACACCCTGAATATTTCATAAGAAATACGAAAAGTTAAGACAAAAGAATCGCCACGAATATCGTTC